ATTTATTTATTTATTTATACATACATACCCCGCCCATCTAGACACATGTCTACTCTGGGCAGCTTTAAAATTGTGGTTGGTCTGTTTCAGTTCTGCAAGATACATTAAAAGTTGCAAATAACCAAGGAGGAGTGACTTCTCGCCTTATGATGAAATCACCCTCAGTCCTTCCAGATGTGTTAAGGGACACAGTTGTGCACCAGTCTAAACCTTCCATGTCCATATGAAACGAGAAGAGAATGTGCTGCTGAGAGGATAAGCCATTGAAGCTTTGGTTCTGCCTCTTCTGAGGTGGACACGTTATGCCTAATTCTACTGTCCTTTAAAACATCTCTTTCTGGAAAATGTTTTTAGCTACTACTGCTTGATGTTACTTTCTGAATAGTTGCTGACTTCTAACCCTTTTTCACTCAAAGTAGGTAGATCTAATTCTTGCTTGGTTGTTTTTAGCATATCATAAACCACATAGATTAATATCTGCTTCAGGAAGGTCTGTAATGTAACTTATCTCAAGCTGTCCTGTCTTATTGTAGTTCAAAGAACTGCACCGGGCTGGAAGGGATCTAATGATGTGCGATCACACAGGTCAAACTGTCCTGCATCATGCAGTCAAAGTGGGGAGCAAGGAGATTGTCAAATACATAATTGAAAATGGTAAGCCAGGTCAGAAAAAGTATTGCATTCTTTGCTGCCATGTTGGATTAATGGGGTGCCTGTGATCATTTCAGTTGAATTCTGATGGGCTCCAGTATTGGCAAAGGTTACTTTGAGGCTAAAAACATTGCATGGCGTTGAACAAATTAGTTATTACTTCAGTCTCAGTTTTACATCTGTGAGCTGGGATTGCTAATGTTGTACCTCCCTTTATTTGTGGATATGTGGAGCATTGGCATGCATGGGAAATGCTGCTTTTCAGTTTCAATCTGGGGGGGGGTGTGCAAAAGAAGTTTCAAGTTGCTGGAGGGAAGTACCGTATACTCAGAGCAGTCTAAATAGGCATGCAAAGCAAAGCAAAGCAAAGCAAAGCAAAAAGCAAAGCGTACGGCTTATATACCTCCCCATAGTGCTTCAAGCACTCTCTGGGCGGTTTACAAGTTAATGATGCAGGCTACACATCCCCCCCCCCAGCAAGCTGGTTACTCATTTTACCGACCTCCGAAGGATAGAAGGCTGAGTCAACCTTGAGCCGGCTACCTGGGATTGAACCCCAGGTCGTGAGCACAGTTTTGGCTGCAGTACAGTGGTTTAACCACTCCCTTCCCCCCTCTTTTTAATATACCACCCTATTAGTGCAATGCACTATTTTGGATGGTTTACAATGATAAAACACAAGGCTCAAACAAACTAAAATGAAACAGACAGAAAATACCATACAGAGCAGAATGAGAAGCACTGCATATGTTCGTACGCACACACTTTCCCACACTGGTCCTTCTGTCTGCCTGCTTGTTTTCCTGGTTTTCACTTGAACTTTGACTACTAGCAGCCCCACTCTAGATTCTTACACTAGGTCATTATAACAGTTTCCCTCTTCCAAAAAAAGTTAGAAATAAAAGGATTAACAAATAAAAGGCCTTGTTCTCACCACAGATATAAAATAAAACAACAAGGCTTGTCATAGAGGAAGCACAACCATATGCTGTAAAGCACATTCACAAAGTTATACAACATATATCTAAAGAAAACTGAGTGGCATATTCACATAAAAAAAGCAACCATGGGGTTAATTTCACGGCCGAATTTAATATTCATGACAAATACATAATTCCTTTATAGAAAATGTACCGTAGATACTGAGGAAGAAGCTGTGTTCTCCATCTGTAATGGGTGGCATGGTCTGTGTCCCATAGGGTTGTCTCATTGCTTTGCTTTTGCCTCTGTCTGCAGCTCCTGCAGAAATTCTGGATATGGCAGAAGAAGAGAAGTAAGTCCCACACTGGTTTGTAGCTTGTATTATTAGCATTAATCCCTGCCTATAAGTGGACTACCTTCTCTGTTTATGAGTGTGAACTTCAGCCATCTTGCTGAAACAGCTGCCCCATCTGGAGGAGAATTTGTGGAGGAATAATATCTCTCTCATGAATATATCTGTTTGCAGGGGGAGGTGAATGCTCTGTTTTTCATACCGGCAGCTTATGTTTCTAAGGAAAGTGGGCACCTGAGAGTCTATGGCAACATTCTGGATACTCGTGGGAAGGGAAAGTCGAAGGCAGTCAACTAAAATAAAGAATTCTCTTGTGGTTCAGGTGCTCTGGCCTATCCTCCTCACCTCAGCACCCTGAATGTCTGATTCCCTTCCCACTGGGCTCTTGAGCTAAATGAGAGAGAGTAAGTCGCCTGAGATGTCAAAATGAAAACTTTGTCATTTCCAATACCTCCACCTGTTTTCCAGTCTAATGTGATCCAACAACCCTGAACATTCACAATCTTGTCTGATTTTGAAAGCTGAACAAGATAGCGCCTGGCTGGTACTTTAACAAGAGATCACTAGGTAACACCAGAGCCCTTTGGGGTGGGGGGCTCGTAAAGGTTGCCTGCAGTCCTGAAGTCCTGTTGCAACGACAGAGTGGACAGTAGATCGATCTGTGGTCTGATTTTGGTATAAGGCAATTTTCTAGGGTTGTAAGAGGTAAAATCTTGTCCCACTGTATGCATAGCTGCAGTCATCTCTCCATCTTAATAAGCTCCTGTGAATCTTAATGTATGATAGCTTGCACCATGGATGGCTCCATCCCAACCGTTCCACTGGACTTTGGTCTTATTATTTATTCTTTGGGCATGTGGGGTACAGTTATATACTGTTGATCCTTGTCCTCCATTTTAATCTTGTTTCCAGTGGTGAAACCAGTTTGCACATGGCTGCAGCCCTTCACCAGCGCACAATTTGCCATTACATTGTGGAAGCTGGAGCATCACTGATGAAAACAGATTTGCAGGTAAGAGCCTGCTCTGAGAGAAGGGAATGTTGGGAATGGCTAAAGCAGAATCTTGGGGGCTAGTTTCTGTGCCCAACAAATCAAGTGTTCAGGCACGGTTGAGGAGCATCTAGTTATTGGTTGGATGTAACACACAGGGTTTCCAATAGAGAAGCAAGTTTCTGCTGCTGCTGTTTCTGTCAGTAATCAGAAATAAGCCTTAAGAGGCTATTCTGGGAAATCTGCTTAATGGATTCGAGTATTGGTTTGCAACCCAAGAAGCTGCCACTGGGAACAACACTCTGATTTGCAGCATGGGAAGCTTTTGCATGGAACTAAGCAGTGCTTTGTAGTCCAGGGAGCTGTTCCATGGAATTGAACTATGCTCTGTACCCCAGGAAGCTGTTGCATTGTCTTGTTCCTCAACAGACATCTGCCTGTGCTTTAGTCTCCCATTGATGGAACATGGCTCCTGAGACTTCCCAAATAGATCCTCAGCCCACCCCCACCCCCAGTTTAAGAAATTTCCTGTCCCTTGTTTCAGACAATTATTTGATTGGACAGCAAGAATCCTTGTATATTGAACAGTAGAGTATCAGAGAGAAGGGCTGAGTTTAGCTGCTTTTCCTACATACTGGCTTTTTTCCATGTGGAAAGTTTACTTTTTGTGTCTGGGAAAATATGAATGTACAGCGCCCACCATAATTTATGCCACTGCCATAATTTGCAAATTGCTACAGTCTGATTTTGAGGTAAGGGGAAAACCCTGCTTGATTTATTTCTGAACTAACCCTGAGAAGCTACTGCCAATATTAGATGCAAAGTCAAGATGCTTATCTCAGATGTGATTGCAGAGTGGTGAATGCGAAGTGGGGATGCTGACCTCCAAGGTAGAAAGGAAGATGCAGCTAGATCTTGGGATAGTCTGCAGCATTTAGCCCAACACTTTTACAAAGAGTTAAATCTGTCTCTGCTGCCAGTGTTGTTGTTTGTCTTTTAAATGAGAGGCCAGGATGTCTTGTTTTTCTTTTTCTACTCCTTGCGGTCAGTGCAAGGACAATCTTGCTGGCGATTTTTTCCTTTCCCAGCTGCAGAATGCCAGTCATCCTGTACTGGGTGATTCTCCAACATAGGAGTATATTGACATTAAGAATGTGCACCCTGGAGACAATAGAGGAGTAGGCTTCTGTTACCTTATGTGTATGGTGTCTCCTTTAATATTGGAATGTCATGGCACTGTAGAGTACGGTGGCTAGAGCGACAGAGGTGCCATTATGTTTCATTGTCAGAAGAAAGCTGGAGGAGGATCTTAGGTGATTCTTTAGCAAGGAAGCTTCCAGATACCTGGCCAGTAATAGGGCAGAAAGAAACATGTATTCCCTGACCAGTTGCGCTGTGAATATCCTGCCTTGCAGCTCATTGATTGTTAGGACCCTGTTAGGCATAGCCAATAGAGATGCACCATGTCATGTTGCTAAATATTCTTGGGGCCTGTGAGTTCACCTGACCAGAGCCAGTGCTAATGGAGCTATAAAAGTAGTGGAGCATTTCAGACAAGCAATAAAAACCTTTGCCAACTGCAGCAGAGATGTTATATAGCCAATTGTTGGCTGCTCCCTTGTTCCCCTGACTCTTTAGCCAATGGTTCGAGCATTATGACATGATCAAAGCAAAAGTAGCTTTAACTGATAAAGGAATGAGTTGTCCTGGAAATGGTAGAGGGGCCAGGTGAAAAGAAGAGTATGGGTTGTCAGCATGGGCAGCTTGCAGAGGCTAAAGGAAGAATGGTCATTTCCTTCATAGCTGTACACCATCGTAACTGCTGTGGCATTGTTTATGGTCTGAAAGTGGCTTCACAGTCACAGGGTTTACATTTTTGAGAAAATACTCTTGACTGATGTGATACTTAATGAGGTCTCTTGCATTTGCACCAAGACTAATGTGTTGCACAAATATAGCCTTGCTGCCAGTATGGAAAACACTTCACCCTACCTACCTGCTTTAACATGACATCTGCAAGGTGCTCTGCCACCAACTTGGTTTGACTTCACCTGCACTTACAGAACAAGTGATGCTATAAAAATGTAAGAGTTGCCTTTCTTCAAAAAGAAAGCTAGCATGGCTGAAACTCATATTAACCCCAGCTGTTGCCAGTACAAGGGAGAAGAGAATTGGTGGGATGCAATTATAATGCCAATAAATTCCAGTTCTGCCTGTTCAAAACGGGGAACTCGCTGCAATTACCCCATAGCAGCAGAATAGAAGCTACTCCAGTTGATAAAACCCTTAGTTCTGAAGATGTTGCTGACTGTGAAATCCTGTGCACTGCTGTAGCTGAAGCCTCTATGTATGTGTGCGTATACATGTGTGCACCTCTTTCAGATTTGCACTTGGGCTCTCCTTTGTGAATGGGTTGCAGCATACCTTTTGCTTCTGCCTTTTGTCCCTCTACTAAGCCATGGGAGGGCTTGGAAGAGGACATCCTGCTTGTTTCTGTTGCTGCACGTGTGGCCCATGGTCCCGGAGTGGCTGATCCTTTGTGCTCTCCAGTGAAATATAGTCAGTGCTTGTCCTTGGGGCTCAGGATCACTTCTTTCTTACTTGCCACAACTTCATTCTCATTGCAAAGGGATGCAAGGGGTGAGATAGGAGTCTCATCCTCTTGTGATTTCAACGGAGGTGGCAGAGAGCCAGTTTTCTTTGGCTTCTCTCAACAGTGAGTTTGTTCAGCACTGTTGGAGTACTGGGGCTGGGGGTGGTGGGATAGTTAATGAGTGGGAGGGGGAGGTTTGTGAGATGGGGAAGGGGAGGGGGAGACACGGCTGAAAGCTGTTAACAGATTTGCTTTTTATGGAGTGCAGGAGTTCATTAGTGGACGCAGTCCAGATGGCTGCAATAAGTTCGTGAAATGTGAGACTCCTCGGGGATCAGGAGAGCTAGCAAAGCTGTGGGGGTGGGAGAAGAGAAGAGATGGTATTTCAGGGCACTCCCCAGGCACACACCTCACCCCACCCCCATTCCTTTTGCTTGTGTTATCCTGGCTTCTGCAGATGAAGAAAATAAGTTTCTGTGGCAAGGTTTCATTGAACAACTGTGCAGGCCTCTCATCTTTTCCTGTATGTGCAGGGACGTGAAGAGGCACGTAGACACACACACACCCCTAACTTTATTTTCTCAGCAAATGTGGGGGACATGTAAGCAGGACCTTGAGGACCTATCTCCTAGCAATCCCTAGGCATCCCTTCCCAGCATGCTCCCCTGTTCTTCTAGCTTGCCTCTCCTCCCTTTCCCCTTGAAGGGAACATTAGTCTCTATAGATGGTAGTCACAGATATTTGTAATGTTATTCTACTCATTGCTTTGTATGGATATAGATGTTCCAGGCTACGCCGTCCTATTTACATGTCCTCCTACCCCACTCCACTCTACCCCCAATGTGATCTTCTTAGAGACTCTTTCTTGCTTTTCTGTTTAAGTAGTAAGATATCCACTCCTTCAGGATTCTTCTAGTCCTCCAAGTTGTTATAGAAAGTTATACATAAAATTATCAGGATTTTGAATAGATCTGCAAATTCCACATAGCCATTGTTATTACATTTGTAACCTCATCTGGATGTTTGGCACAGCCTTATTGTGAGAATTTTGTTTGTCAGATATCTGGCCTGTTCCTTACCTATTCATGTTTAAGCTAGCTTTGACAACATTAATATGAGGACCATAGAAATTAATACAGTTGTTAAAAAGAGTCCTCAAGAAAGAGGACCTTTCTGGACTTAACTGAAGCCACCTAGGTTCCTTTTATGGAGAAAGATGGGGGTAACAACATACAAAATAAATAATAAACTGTCTTCCACTTCTTATCACATAGTTTTTGCAGATTTTTTGAAGCATCATCTGGGGTGCTGATGAGAGAAAGTAAAACTGAATGGAGACGCTGTACACACTGTGGCCAAAAGCCAGCTGTCTCTGCCTTTGGGAATTACATGATACCTGAAGTTAAAAACAGGGCCTCCTACTTCTTGGACACCTGTATAAACTATGAAAAAGAGACGTGAAGTCTCAAATATGTAGCAGTTTTTAAATTTATTTTTGAAACTTACTCCTGAAAGTGAAATGTGTAATATTCAGGTTAACCTCCACCCCCCACCCTATTGAGCAGATCAGAACAGAGTTGGTATAACACTGCTTAGTCTGAAGAGGAGGAGGAGGAGATGTCCTCATTATTGCCAGACATATGTATTTCTGCTTCAGCATCTCCTGTTCTCAACTTGTGTTTCCTCTCTTGCAGGGAGACACACCCAAGCACAGAGCTGAGAAAGCAAATGACCCTGACCTGGCTGCCTACCTCGAAAATCGACAGCACTACCAGATGATCCAACGGGAGGATCAGGAGACAGCTGTGTAGTGCTGAGTGTGCCTTATGCCTGCCGGGAAGTGCAGGAGCAAAACGGCATAGGAGCCTGGCTGGCCATTCCTTGACTATCCAGCATGAAGAGGATCAAGAGGCTTTGGGAGGGGTTAGGCCAAGGCACTGTTATTTATTAGTCTAGTGGGTGTTGAGCAGTGTTGAGTTCACAAGTCCCGCCACCACATTCCAGGGATGGACTCTGCTGTATCCTTCCTGCTCACCTCTAGGTCCTTTGGAGAGAGGGACTGCAGCTCCCTCAAAGCACAGGGAAGGAAACTCTTTCCTCTTCCAAGCTTGGCTGGAGCCCCACTTGTGCTGCCCTGCCACCTAGTCAGCAGCCTGTTCAGGTCTCCTCTTGCTTCCACTAGTTCCCAGCAGTGGGCATTGGCTTTCTCAGTAGTAATAGTGCCCATTGTCCTGGTATGTCCTGTTACTGGAAAAAAAAACACTGGCATATTTCTGGAGACATAGCAGAACATGGAGTGTGGAAATGCTGGTGGTGTACTGCAGCATCACGTCTGCTACCCACCCATCATGGCTTTCAGTGGTTGGTGTGGACCATGACTGACAGTGATGCGGACAAAGAGACCCCCAAAGCAAGCCATGGGTCTGTCTTGCGTCCTTCCCAGCATAACAGATCTCTGTTCTTTCTTCCTTGGTTCATTCCCCTTGTCCTGTTCATCCTACATTGTGTATCCCTTACTGGAAGGAATGCTTATGTAACAGGATGAAAGGCCTACTATGTCCAGGGACTTTTGTACCCTCTGTCAATTTATAGCAGGCTGCTCTACACTGACATTTGATCTTCCTGAACTAGAAGATTTGAGCCAAGTGCCTCTTTCCCATATCCCCTCCTTTCTCCGGTCCCCTCCCCACTGCTGTCACACATGACTTTCCCTCGTTTTTGCACGTACATATTTAGCAAAGAGCAGCCTGTTACAAAATATTTTTAGGTAGTGGGCTATTTGCTGAAATGTGGGAGCTCAAATCTCATCTCATTGACTTTCGGTAAAGCTGCATCCAAAGGTTCTTGGCAGGGCCTTTTATGTTTTAGTGTGGTTAGGAGTAAATGTATCAAGCACTGACAAAAAGGGAGTGGAGTCTCGCAACCAGTGTTAATGGCATACTGCATCCATCTATCCAGGGACCAGTAGTTAGCAGCGCTAGTGGTGAGGGAATGGTGGTTTCTGTTTATTCCCAGGTTTGGAGTGGACATAGAGTTGCACACTGTCAACCTTTCACATTATCCCACTGTCCATATTTACATTGGATTATTGTAACAACGTATGCATCCTAAGCATTTGTTTTGCAGTCTGTGCTCTTTGCTCACATAGATCTCTCAGCTCTAACATATTATCTTTTGGTAACGTTAATAACAAAACGCCAGTATTGGAAGAATTGTTGTCTTCACATGATCAGGCATGAGTAACAAGAGTCCTGTTTTCAACAGGGAGGGAGTACATTTTCTGCAGAGTATCCTGGATCATTTACATTTAATCCACTTGCATGTCTAAATGGTTATAAAGCAAATCTCAGTTGTCAGAATACTGAGCAAGTAGCCAGTTTGACCTGCTGCTGCCTCCCTATAGAATGGGATCAATTCCCACATGGAGGCCCAGCAGGCTAACAGTTGAATGGTTTTCAATCCTCCCATAAAGTTAGGGGTCTGAGAGCTCTGCTTAGCATTAAGGAGCTGATTGGGAGCGTGAGAAGAACAGGGTGACAGTGAGAAAAATGTTTTTCGGGAGCTTAAATCTCAAACTTGGAGCAGGAAAATTTAAATCTCAGTGAGTCTGTAAGCTATGCTCTGAAACAATTGGAAGGTAGGGTGTCTTCCTGTAAGATAATGACAAGATTGGACTGCAAAGAAGAACTGGATTCTAGACATCTGCAAAAGGAATGCTTGCTTACTGAGCATGTTTTATATCAGATCATCAGACAGCATGAATGTCATGGGCAAAGTGGTGGGGAATGGAGGTCTGTATGCAAGACTGATCAGTGTTTGTGTATTGTTGATGCAACAATTTGAATTTGGATTAAGTGTGAAGACTTCCCCATGTTATGGAATACTTAGCAAGATCAGGTCTAGGAGCTTACATATTCATCCAGATTTCACTCTTCATATCTGCTTGAAATTTTGTCCTTCTTCAGTACTGACTTTCTGTATTGAGAATCCTTGATGGTAACCCAGACTTCAGAGCATCCCCATTTTAGCTTTTACCCCTGCCATATGAGTCTTCAGCAGATCAACATGGCCGGACATTTACTCAGACACTGTCATCCCTATGACAAACTTCATGCTTTTTTTCTCCAGAGGTGTAGTAAAGCATCTAGTGCTCTTCAGAGAGCCGGCTTACAACCATTTTGCAGATTGGATCAGCCATGTCTCTTGGCCTAACATAGTAGAGGCAACATGTTATCCTAGATTTATCAGTACTGAAGTTCGTGCAGAACAGAATGTCCTGAAATACTAGACCGAGGTGAGCAATCAGTGATCGTTCAGATCCTGCTGGACTCTCCATGTTGGCTTTGCTGGCTGGGGCATTGATGGGAGTTGCATCCAGCTGTGTCTGGAGGGCTGCAATGTTACCCAACTTTGTCTTAGATAATCACACAGGTCCTCAGTCTGTGACAAGGCTTATGCTTTGGTCTTTTTAAATTGTTCAGAATTCCTCTTCTGAAGCTGGATGTACAAGACCAGCCTCATGAAGCATTTATATCCCCATGAACTTGCTGACTTCTCTTTTATCCTTTATATGTCTCCTTAAACTTTGTACAGGTAGTTCAGAAGCACACTGTTTCCCCATTTCCTCTGTATGTGTGTTGTGCATGTGTGTGTATCCTAAGCTGAGTTGCTGTGCAATTCAAACCTGGGCTTGTTTTATTCCTAGGGGAAGGAGTGTGTTTAAGGGTGAATTCCCCCTCCCCGTGCAATACCTACTTCCTATCCCCTAGATTCATACTGTTAGGATAGTTTTTTGATTGACTGTAATTTTTGTAACTGTGTTGGGAGCTTATGCTTCCATTGGCTTTCCTCTCTGACTGTTTAAATGTTTTGTTGGGTTTTGCCATTAAAATATACAGATGAACATTTTACTTCTTTTCTCTATCTCTAAACCTGGGAGGTTGGTGTTTACAACCAAAATATCTTCTGTACTCAAATGAAGTATCATAAAGTTCCATTTTTGTTAAGGGGTCAGCATAAGCCTGAACCCACAAACTGTGGGAATTTCCCTTTCCCTTTGTTTGCTTGCATCTTCTCTCTGGTACTGTTAATCCCAAACCCCATTCTTGTAGGTCAAGTCAGCTTGAGTACAGTACTTTTCAACTCAATTATGGTCTGGAATTGGTATGAGTAGTGAGATGGCCCAAGTGAGTTGATGCCACTAAATTGTTTTGGATGTTGAGAACAAAAATAGACTGCAAAGAACTCCAAAAAGATCTCTCTCAACTGGGGGAATGGGCATTAAAATGGCAAATGAGATTCTCTGTGAACAGATAATAAAGAGGAAGCAAGCCAAACCAAACTTTACTTCAACACTGATCATAAGCTATCAGCAGTGGACCAAGAAAGGAAGACTCATCATGTGGTGAAAACGGTGAACTAGGGCCAGACCATATATTAAGGCAAATGCATTTTTCCTCCTCTTACTGTGTATATTTCCTCTTTTTATATCTCTCCAGGCATGTATAGTAGGTCTTTTGAAACTACATGTCTGAGAAGTGAGACACTAAAACAAGGCCCAACCAGTTGTGTTACAGAAGCTAGCTAATTTGCCAAATGTGGATTGAGACAAGCTGCTGTTCAAATAAACACTCTTTTTCTTTTACAGGAGTGCTGTTTCTAACATCATTTTAGCAGTATTATCTAATTCTGCCCACAGTTTGCAGATGCTGGGCATAATGAGGAAAAAAAAATTAAAATAACACTGCCTCAAACATTATCAAAATCTTTGCAGTAACACACTTGAATGTTATGGATATTTCTGGCCACCAGATCTGAAAAAGGATGTTGTACAGCTGGAAATGTACAGAGAGGCCAAACCAAATTACTGAGGGATTGGAATAACTCCGTTATGAAGAAAAGTAACAATGGTTGGAGTTGTTTAGCATGGCAAGAAGCCAAGTTTGAGGAATATAACAGAAGTGTGTAAAATTATGCGTGGTATGGAGAAATTAGATTGGCAGAAGCTCTCATCTCCAGTAATGCTAGAATCAGGTCAATCCACAGATGTTTAAATGGCAGAAGCTTCTATGCAGGTAAAAGGAGGCATGTCTTCACAAAGCACACAGTAATGATAGTTGTACGTTTTTTGGGCTGTTTGCCCATGTTCTGAGGGGAAGCATTTTGGGCCAAACGGCCTGAAAAACCTACAACCATTGGATCCTGGCCATTAAAGCCTTTGAGAATACATCACACAGTTATGATTTTTCTGCCACAAGAAGAAGTGGTGGCTCTCAGCTTGAATGACTGGAATGACAAGAAAGTTTGGATGACATGAAAGATTGGGCAGATTAATCATGAATGTGGCTATAAGGGTTTGCTAATCAATATGGGCATGTATTCCCTTCAGTTCCAAAGGTAATATGCCTCTGTATATCAGTCATCAGAGAACATAAATAGCAGGGCACTATTGCTCTCCTGTTCTAAGAGAAATCAGGATTGTAGCATCTTTAGGATTAACTGGTTTCTATTTTTCATAAACATTTGTGTGTCCACACATGATCTCACATGAATGGAGTGTCCTTTGGTAAAGGTAAAGGTTCCCCTTGACATTTAGTCAGTCGTGTCCAACTCTAGCCTTTTGTTTCTGATCATGGGGCGTTCTTGGCAAAGATACTGGAGTGGCATTGCCATTTCCTACTCCAGGTGGATTGCATTTAGTCAGAACTCTCCACTATGTCCTGTCCGTTTTGGGTGTCCCTGCACGGCATAGCCCATAGCTTCTATGAGTTACTCAAAACCCCTTCAATCCATGAAGGGGATCTGTTCAGGAAAATTGGAGATATTAGAGGAACATTTTGTGCAAAGATGGACATGATAAAGGACAAAAATTGGAGGGACCTAACAGAAGCAGAAGACATCAGGAAGAGGTGGCAAAAATACACAGAGGAATTATATCAGAAAGATTTGGATATCCTGGACAACCCAGACAATGTAGTTGCTGGCCTTGAGCCAGACATTCTGGAGAGTGAAGTCAAGTGGGCCTTAGAAAGCCTGGCTAACAACGAGGCCAGTGGAGGTGATGACATTCCAGTTGAACTATTTAAAATCTTAAAAGATGATGCTGTTAAGCTGCTACATTCAATATGCCAGCAAGTTTGGAAAACTCAGCAGTGGCCAGAGGATTGGAAAAGATCAGTCTACATCCCAATCCCAAAGAAAGGCAGTGCCAAAGAATGCTCCAACTGCCGTACAATTGCACTCATTTCACACACTAGCAAGGTTATGCTCAAAATCCTACAAGGTAGGCTTCAGCAGTATGTGAACCGAGAACTCCCAGGAGTACAAGCTGGATTTCGAAGGGGCAGAGGAACTAGAGACCAAAGGGGCAGAGGAATTAGAGACCAAATTGCTAACATGCGCTGGATTATGGAGAAAGCCAGAGAGTTCCAGAAAAATATCTACTTCTGCTTCATTGACTATGCAAAAGCCTTTGACTGTGTGGACCACAGCAAACTATGGTCTAGACATGGTCTAGAGGGGCGGGGTATAAATTTAATAAATAAATGGCAGGTCCTTAAAGAAATGGGAGTGCCTGACCACCTTATCTACCTCCTGAGAAACCTATATGTGAAACAGGAAGCAACAGTTAGAACTGGATATGGAACAACTGATTGGTTCAAAATTAGGAAAGGAGTACGACAAGGCTGTATATTGTCCCCCAGCTTATTTAACTTGTATGCAGAATACATCATGCGGAAGGCTGGACTGGAGGAATCCCAAGCCGGAATTAAGATTGCCAGAAGACATATCAACAACCTCCGATATGCAGATGACACCACTCTGATAGCAGAAAGTGAGGAGGAATTAAACAACCTTGTAATGAGGGTGAAAGAGTAGAGTTCAAAAAACGGCCTGAAACTCAACATCAAAAAAACTAAGATCATGGCCACTGGTCCCATCAACTCCTGGGAAATAGAAGGGGAAGATATGGAGGCAGTGACAGGTTTTATTTTCTTGGGCTCCATGATCGCTGCAGATGGAGACAGCAGCCCCGAAATTAAAAGACGCCTGCTTCTTGGGAGGAAAGCAATGACAAACCTTGACAGCATCTTAAAAAGCAGAGACATCACCTTGCCAACAAAAGTCCGAATAGTCAAAACTATGGTTTTTCCTGTTGTGACGTATGGAAGTGAGAGCTGGACCATAACGAAAGCAGACCACCGAAGAACTGATGCCTTTGAATTGTGGTGCTGGAGGAGGCTCTTGAGAGTCCCCTAGACTGCAAGGAGAACAAACCTATCAATTCTAAAGGAAATCAACCCTGAGTGCTCACTGGAAGGACAGATCCTGAAGCTGAGGCTCCGGTACTTTGGCCATCTCATGAGAAGAGAAGACTCCTTGGAAAAGACCTTGATGTTAGGAAAGTGTGACGGCAAGAGGAGAAGGGGACGAAAGAGGATGAGATGGCTGGACAATATCTGCGAAGCAACCAACATGAATTTGACAAAACTACGGGAGGCAGTGGAAGATAGGAGGGCCTGGCGTGCTGTGGTCCATGGGGTCACAAAAAGTCAGACACGACTAAACGACTAAACAACAACAATGATGTCCGACTCTAGGGGCGGTGCTCATCCCCGTTTCCAAGACTTAGAGCCAGCGTTTGTCCGAAGACAGTTTTCGTTGTCATGTGGCCAGCGCGGCTATTCATGGAACGTTGTTTACCTTCCCAACAAGGTGCTACCTATTTATCTACTCGCATTTGCATGCTTTTCAACTGCTAGGTTGGCAAGGAGCTGCGACAAAGCGACGGGAGCTCACTCCGTCACGTGGATTCGATCTTACGACTGCTGGTCTTCTGATCTTGCAGCACAGAGGCTTCTGCAGTTTAGCCTGCAGCGCCACCACGTCCCAGTGTCCTTTGAGGGTAGTTTAAAACTGTTGACAGGGAAAGTATGTCAGGGGAGGGCAACAATAGGGTGTTTTGGTCTCTGCCGAAGAAGGTCTTTGACAGACAACGGGCAATGACAGATTCTTCCACTCTTAATGGTGCTTAGGGTCTGATGGGTGACAAAGGCTTAGTATATATCATGAACAGGAAACCTTGTCTTTGTTAAGGCCCAGAGAGTGTATGCTGAACTTCCTAATACAAACCTGCTCAGTCACCTCCCTTTGGAATCTGTCTTTAAAGTTTGTTCAGCAACTGCAATTCTTTTCTGTCTGTAACTTTCCTATAGGCAATTGGCTGGCCATGGTATGAGCAGAATCCTGGAGTAGATTTCACGTGTTCTTCTGAGTACGGGACTCTTGAGAGAGTCTCATTACTTCCAATATATTCTTAACATATTATAGTATTAAGGACAAAATGATTGGGACAGTGTGACATAAAAATGGCAAGGTACATTGATTTTTTTTCCTTTCTGGTACCTGAGCCAGGAAGCAGATTTCCTCAAAGGTAATCAAAGGCTGAAATGTTTGTATGGCTGTCTATTATGTTACATTGCATAAACTCAACAGGGCTTCTTGGAAGAGCCATTATAATACATTGCAGCAAAATATATTCTATATAACAATCTATTTTATACCTTTTAAAGGCTGAAGCTAATTGTATAACAAGCACTTCTGTAGGCAAGAGACTACTTGATTAGAGGCGGGACAGGCGCTTTGTTAAATAGAAGGCAACATGGACATCAAAGAGATCCTCCTCACCTTTTCAGCCGCAACTAAGGCCACATCAAAAAACTGAATCCTTTCACTCATACATATCTCCCCTTTCTTTCATCATATAGTAATGACATATTTAGATTGTCTTGGGAAAAAATCCAAAGAGGTTGCCACTGGTAATGTACCATCTGTTTCCCCTTGTCATTTCAGTGTTGCCACCTTCCTTGAGATCAATTCATACCAATGGTGCTAAATTACATTTAATAAA